AAACCTTGTATTAAATTTCTGCTATGAAGCCATTTATCACAAACTAAAGAGTACTCTATTCAAACCTTTCCAAGTGAACAAATATTGACCATAGAGTCATGTAAGAGTTACTGGGATGGCACCATTTATTAGTTATTTTTTGTTCCACACCTCAGGAGAAACCACTTTGCTATTGAAAAATCAATCCTTATTTCCAGATATTAATTGACTCGGTTTTATGACTGTTCGTTGTCTACCAAGGCTCCTGTGGGGCACTTAGAAAAGTACATTAATCCTAGATACCTAACCAAATCTTGACTTCCTGCGTTAACTATTCTTAGTTTCTTCACTCAGTAAGACCAAATACTGTTTCCTGTGCAAAAACCTAGAGGAAAACCTCTTGGGCTGATGGTAGTACTTTCTGAATAAATACTAAGTGATCAGTGCCTTTAAACAGAGAACAATAAGTGTGTACCATTGCTTAACAAGTTTAATGAGTATTATGTCAAACACTGACAGACATTTGAAAGAAAATATGTATACCAGTGGTTAGCACCATGAGACTACTTTTAGGGTAATAAGGAAAATTCTACAAGTTGACTGCACACTCAACTGCCCTACCCTCAGACACTGGTTTGTTCCTGACAGGTTCCTATTAGATTTGGGACTTTTTGTTTTCCTTCTGACCTACAAAAGTTTCAGTCTCCAACTCTTAGTTAGGCGCAGGGATCTGTTTCTGTTACAGATATGTTGAAATCATCCAGATCTATCCTGATGTAACATGGTATAATGGATAGAGAGTATTATACTTGGAGTAAGGAACACTTGGGCTCAAATGCTGCATTAGTAGCGATGTGACTTTGTGTAAGTCACTTAATCAATCATTCAACAAACATTTATTGAGCACCTACTGTGTACCAGGCACTCTGCTAAACACTGTGGATACAAAAAGAGGCACAAAACAATCCCTGCCCTCAAGCTCACAATCTAATATGGGGGGGGGATGACATGCAATCAAATATATACAAAACAAGTTATATGTAAGATATACAAAATATATATCCTATACATAAACTATACACACACATATATACATATATGTATATATATGTGTGTATGTGTGTGTGTGTATATATATATATATATAAAGTATATATAAATCCTATATATAAACAGGATAAGTAGGAAATAGTAGAGGGAATTGAGAGGGGCTGGGGAAGACTTCCTATAGGAGTAATTTTAGTTGGGATTTAAAGAAAGCCAGGCAGGTCAGTACTCAGAGTGGAGTAGGGACAGCCAGAGAGAAAGCCCAGAGCTGAGAGATGAAATGTCTTGTTCATGAAACAGCCAGGAGGCCAGTGTCACCGGATCAAAGAGTACATATTGGGGAATAAGGTGAAAGAAGACTGGCAAGGTAGGAGGGGGCTAGGTTATAAAGGACTTTGAATGCCAGAGAATTTTGTATTTGATCCTGGAAGTGATAAGGAGCCACTGGAGTTCATTGAGTAGGGTGGAGGTATGTGCGATAGGATCAGACCTGCATTTTAGGAAAATCACTTTAGTGAATGAATGGAGGATGGACTAGAGTGGGGAGAGACTGGAGGTAGGTAGACCTACCAGTAGCAATTGCAGTCTGCATGTGGTGATGAGGGCTTGCACCAGGGTTTAGCAGTATCAGAGGAGAGAAGGGGCCATATTCAAGAGATGTTGCAAAGATATCATTGACAGACCTTGGCAATAGCTTGGATATGGTGGGATAAGAGATAGCTAGGAGTCCAGGATGACTCTAGATTGTGAGCCTGAGGGACTGGGAGAATGGTTTTAACCTCTACAATAATAGGGAAGGTAGGAGGTGGGGGCAGGGTTTAGGGGGAAAGATAATGAGTTCTGTTTTTGGATATAATGAGTTTAAGATACATATTAGACATCCAGTTCAAGATGTCTGAAAGACAGTTGGAAATGTGAGATTGGAGGTCAGAAGAAAGATTGAGGCTGGCTAGGTAAATTTGAGAAGTATCAGCATAGAGATGATAATTAAATCCATGGGAGCTGATCGAGAGGATCACCTATGAAATAGTTTAGAGGGAGAAGAGAAGAGGACCCAGGACAGAACCCTGAGAGATATCTCCTGTTAGAGGGTGTGATCTGGAGGAAGATCCAGCAGAGTCAGAGAAGGTGGTCAAATTGGTAGGAGGAGAACCAGGAGAAAATAGCGTCCTAAGAACTTAGAAGAGAGTATAAAGAAGGAGAGCTGGTCAACAGTGTCAAAGGCTGCAGAGAAGATAAGGAAAATGACTATTGAGAAAAGCCTATCGGATTTGTCGACTAAAAGATCACTAGTAATTGTGGAGAGAGCATTTTTAGTGGAATGATAAGGTCAAAAGCCAGATTGTAAGGGGTTAAGAAGAGACTGAGAGGAGAGAAAGTGGAGGCATCTATTGTAGACAGCCTTTTCAAGGAGTTTAGTCATAAAAGGCAGAAGAGATAAAGGATAATAGATAGCAGGAGTGAAGGATCAAGTGATGGGTTTTTCAGGATGGGAGAGACATGAGCATATTTGTAGGCGGTAGGGAAGATGCCATTAGGGAGAGATCGAAAACAAGTATAAGAGTGGGAATGACAGCGGGGGCAATCTGTTGGAGGATACAGGATGGAATGGGATTGTTTGAACAAGTAGAGGGGTTAGCCTGGTAAGGAGTAAGGCCACTCCATTTTGTGAGATGGGTGAAGAAGGAGAAAGTGGCAGAAGGCCTCTGTTTCCTTATCTGTAGAATGGTTTAAATGAGTGCCGAGGTCCCTTCTAGCCCTTATTTTGTGATCCTACCCAAGTACATACAGTCAGAGCCCTAAAAGCAACCTTTGAACTGGACTTAGTCGGGGGGGGGGGGGGAGTAGCTAGGTGGCACAGTGGGTAGAGCACCAGATCTGTAGTCAGGAGGACCTGAGTTCAAATCTGGCCTCAGGCACATAACACTCCCTAGCTGTGTGTGACTCTGGGTAAGTCACTTGATCCCAGTTGCCTCACAAAAAATAAATAATATAAACTGGACTTAGTCACCTTGGGGTCCTTTCGGATCAGGGTGACCCAGGGCCAATGTGAACCAGAGTAGATTTCCCATTTCCATAAATTGGGATATAGTGTAAAGAGCACAGGATTAGGAGCTGAGACTTGAGTTCTCATCCTGATTTTTTTTTTTTTTTACCAACTAGCTATGTCACCTTATTAAGCTTCTCCCCTTCTCTACCTCAGTTTTCCCATTCGTCAGATGAAAGTATTAGATTAGATATTCCCTAAATTCTCTTTTAGTTCTAACATTCTAAAATTTTAGCACCCCATCTTCAGGACTAGGCTAAAAACCAAACTGCTAGCCTTTGCCTTATCTTCTCCCTTCACTTTTTGTGACTAAATATTTTCCTTAGCTAACTGGCCCTATTGGATATTTTCCCACAGAAAGGGTAGAATTCATGGCATAGCACTATGGTCTCAATTTTACAAAAGCCTGACTGCCTTTTGAGTTCCCTCTCAAACCATTTTCCTTTGCCTTTTCCTCCGTCTCCCCTAAATATAGAGGAAAAAGCAATTGGTCAAGTATAAATAGCAGCAGACTGGAGGTCTGGGATTTTTTTTTTTATTACCTATATGGTTGATTTAAAAGTTTAAGTATTCCATGATCAGAGAGAACTTTTCTAATGATAGTGATTCAGTGAAAATCAATTTTGATAGTTTGCATTTGGCTCTATCATATGTCACACTCAGCATTCAGTTCTGTTATATGTCATATTCTGTTTTCATTTTATTTATTTTTCTTTCACATTGCTGCTTTTACCTGAGTGTTTCAGTATCTTTCCATAATTATCCTGTTCTTCCTTTTACAATTTGCTATTATCATAGTTTTCTGTTAAATCTAAATTGATACCAGATACACTACCACCACCAAGAGAAGAGCAGTAGGGAGAAGAAAGAGAATATACCACAACTTGGAAAGTTCATTAATTTTGAGTCTGAGAAAAGTTTATGGGGTTTTAAAAATAGTATTATCTCATTTTCAAAAACCAAATAGTATTTTACTGTGTCTGTAATAAATACGAGAGGCCATGTAGCTTAGCGTTGATACAGGCCTGACCTTGAGTCAGGAAGACCTGGGTGAAATCTTGTAAATCACATATAAGTTAATAATGAATTGAAGGAGTCCCCACACTGGGAGTTCTCCAAGCTTATGGAATCACAGGTCCAGATGTGTGTGTGTGTGTGTGTGTGTGTATGTGTGTGCATAGCATGTTTACATATTCATATACATTTTACTGTCACACTGAAATTTACAGTAGTAATAATTGATGTGATATGTGTAATATACATATGAGAGATAAAAGAATATAGAGGTAACATGTATAATATAATAATGTAATAATATGTAACAATATTATACATTAATGTGAGATATTGAAGTTAAGGGCATTCACAGTAGCTATAATAGAAGAACTTAGCATTGTAGCGGTTCAAACATTATAACGGTGATTAAGAGTAAATACTAGATTTAGATAGTTGCTTTTATTGCTTTCTTAAGTGTTTCATACAGTAAAATCCAATTATAAACTAAATTAGCCACATGGAAGCCTTCTTCTCCCCTGTCCCCAAATGTTTTAGGCATTTACTTTTGGAGTCATAGTAATAGTATAGTTCTATAGTTACTTTCTTCTTGATCGCTTACCGTATTTCAGGGTAGGTGGTTGTTGCTTTATAGCCATTTTCTGAAAACTATTTTCCCCTCCCCTTCACTTACCATATTGCAGCTTCACACATGTGGCTTTTCCTAGTTAGTTGGAGTAGCCAAAATTGATATATTTTGGGAAATTGTCTCTTTTACCATTTGACTATTTTCAATATATGTGCTATTCTACTGAGCTGATGTCCAAAGAGAAATTATAAAGCTACAAATGTTTATATTTAAGAAAAATATGAAATAGTATCTTTTGTTTATTTCATGTTTGGTTCAACTAAATGTTTTTTCATTTTTATTTAGGATTTGCTATCCCATATGCTTCACGTAGACCCACATCAACGGTATACTGCTGAACAAGTATTAAAACACTCATGGATAGCCTGTAGGGACCAGCTACCCCATTATCAGCTCAACAGGCAAGATGCACCACATCTAGTAAAGGTAAAATAATTATTTTAAAACTCTGTTAATATTTAATGCCTATCCTTAATATCCAAGCAAGTCATTGTACTGACCACAGTAAGGTAATTATCTTAAAAGGTTATTTTAACAGATACAAAGCCACCTTGAGGAATTATTTTAACTTCAGACTATTATTTTTGAACAGTAAATCTTAGATACTTCCTAACATTCTTTAGTTTTTCTTTTCCATATTATGAAAGAAAAGCTTCCTATCTTCCCCTTCCTCACTCCGGACACCTTAAAAGATCATGCTTTTGTTTTCTTTTAAATATATCTTTTGTGGCAGTGGACAGAATAAAGGAAACAAAAACTGGTAACACTAAAGACACAACTGACATCTAGTGCTCATTCCTTCTAGTATAGCTGTAGATTTCCTTCCATTGTAGACAGTATTAGAATAAAGGATGTCATGGGGAAAATCTACAGTGTTAATGGTATAAAAATAGTGGAGTGACCTGCCTAAGGACAGAAAATCTTCCCTACAATTCTCTTACGTACTTGTTCCAAAATTGAACTTTATTTTTAGTTTGTTGTTGTTTTTTCAAATATCACTTTCCATTTTGGCCCTTTGTTTTTGTGTCTTATGATGCCTTTTGAGGTATACTGCTCAGTCTAGATATCAGTGGGGAAGGAACAAAAAAGTTGATATTACCAAATAAGGAACTAATATTTATTTGTTCATAATAGAACACACACTAGTGTAGACTCCCATGTAAGTCTTATGATTTAAATTCCCAGCCAAATTAGACTTATTAATTAAAATATAACAATTCAAGCAATCTTTTGAACAAGATTGACCCAAAAACAAATCTCATATTCTTCTCTTTAGTTACATCAATGCATTGTATTATATAGTTCAGGGCTTTAAAATAGGAACAGTCTTGCAGAGTTTCATAATATGGAGAAATCACATTCAATTGGAGGGCATCAAGGAAGGTTTCGTGGAGAAGGTGGTATTTGTGCTCGAATAATGAGTAGGATTTTGACATGTGGGAATCCCTAAAATACTACAGGATACAGGAACGGGTACCATCTGATAGCTCGGTTGCACATTATCCAGTTTCTGTTCAGACTGAGTCAGAAAGAGGGGACCTCCAAATAGGAATGGTAGAGAGAAGTGATCACTGATGGGCCCTAGCTATGTACTGTACAAGGAACAAGTTTGGAAGCAAACATAGCTGTGTGGTTCTGATTCTAGGAGCAGAGCAGGGACTCAGTTTTAACCTCCAGCCCAGATGGAAGCCTGCAATGGATTTATCAGAGCAAAAGTCTCAGACCAAGGGAGTAGCCTGCAGTTCAGTCACTGTGAACCTGCAGAGCCTCCCAGTGGGCTAGTAGCGGCTGAATCTAACAGCAGTCTGCTTAAACTCCCAACCAAGATAAGCTGACAGACCCAAACTTGGGTTAGGAACTTGCAGAGCTCATGCTGGGAGGACAGTAAGCAGACTTCTTCCCTTTCACATCACATTGGGAACACTAAAATCTTGCAGGCCTCCAACCTGAGTTGTGAAAGTTGCAGAATATAAGCCAGACATTTCCTTCAGGTGTGCAGAGCCCAAAACTAACATAAAGTCCAAAGTCAAGAAGTTGACTGAAACAATGAACAAACCAAAAAAAGAATCCCCCCATAATAATAAGCTCAAATCCTACTGTAAAGAACTATTATGACAATAGAGAAGATTAAAACACAAACCCAAAAGAAACAATGGCTCAAAAACATCTACATGCAAAGCCTCAAATAAAAATATAGCTTGGACACGAAAGCAAATAAGAATTCCTGGAAGAATTAAAGCAAGAGGTTTTTATTTTTTTAAAAAAGCTAAAAAAAAGATTTAAAAAATAAATGAGAGTGGTAGAAGAAAAAAACTGGAAAAGAAATAAGCTATGGAAGAAAGATATGAAAAAAAGAATTAACATCTTAGAACAAAAGATACAAAACCTTACCCAATAATATATAACTTTCTGAAAATTAGAATGGGCTATATAAGAGCTAATGACTCTGTGAGACATCAAGAAACATTTTTTTAAAAATCAAAAGACTGAAAAAAGGGAAAAAATACGAGATATCTCAGACCAAAAACAACTAACCTAGAAAATACATGGAGGAGAAAGATTGTAAGAATCATTAGGCCAACTAAAAGCCATGATAAAAAAAAAGAGCACAGACATGAAAATCGTGACTTTCAAAAGAGCACAGCCATCATATTTCAGGAAATCATAAAAGAAAACTTCTCAGAACTCTTCGAACCAGAAGGAAAAGTAGAAATTGAAAAAAAATCCACATCACCTTCTGAAAGAAACCCCCAAATGAAAACTCCAAAGATTATTATAGCCAAAATCTAGAGCTCATAGATCAAAGAAAAAAATACAGAAAACCCTAGGAGAGAATTCAAGTACTTGAGTGTCCACAAGTAGGATCCCTATGGATTTGGAGATTCCCTTCTGCCCACTCATCCTCCACTGGATGAGGAGCAACTGAGTACCAGATGGTACCTGTTCCTATACCCTGCACAAGATTTAGCAGCCACCACTTTACAGGAGCAGAGAAAAAAAAAGGAGCAGAGAGCTTGCAATATGATATTTCAGAAGGCAAAAGATCTAGGCTCAAAACCAACAGCAACTTATCCAGCAAAACTGTCTATAGTTCTACAGGGGAAGAAATGGACCTTTGACAATGAGAGGACTTCCAAGCATTCTTGATGAAAAGACGAGAGCTTAGTAGAAAATTTATATACAAACACAGGAGTTAATAGAAGAATAAAAAGGAATTAAAGAACCATATAAAATGTGCAGAGGTGACAGACTTTTAATTTTGATTCTCCCTAACATTAGGTGCCTTATCATAAAAATATGAAATTTCACTTAGGGTTACTAAAATGGATTCATCAAGGTCAGACTGTAATAAGACACAGATAGACTCAATCCTCTGCAAACCCAATGGAAATAAATGCTGCCCTTGATTAATCTTAATCACAAATTGTTGGCTTTAGGTGGCTACAAAAATTAAAATTATTATGTTTTTTAAATTACCCTTTCTTTTACTTGAAATGCTGGGGAAATTATTTTTAAAAGTTTTTGGCTTCATCTAATCAAAGAATCCATCTTAAGGATTGAAAAAAAAAACTCAAGAGTCATTTAATCCTACTCCTACTAGATATCTTAATCCCTCTACAAAGCTTGAACATCTCACCTCTCCTTAAAAAGTGAAGAAAAGACTTATTCATCTTAATAGGCAACCCTAAATATTGAGAAGTTCTTCTTTATATTAACCTAAAATCTACCTCCCTATGTTCGGTATAGTTTTGTTCTGTGGAGCCACAAGAATAAATCTAAGCCCTTTCTCATATGATAGGCCTTCAAATGTTTGATGAAGTTATCAAGTTTGCCTATATCCTCTCTTTTTTCAGGATGATGTAATGGAAACAATAGTAGACTGAGAATCAGAAGACCTCCATTCTAGTTCCATGACCTTACTTAGTGTTTGTGCAGACTTGGGTAAATTATTTAATTTCTCTGTACTTCAGTTGCCTCATTTATAAAATCAAAGGCTTATATTATCTCTAAGGTCATGGAATCTTAGAATTTCAGAATTTGATAGGAACCAAAAGGCCACTGAGTTCAACTCTACCCTGTCCCCTTCCTCCTCCCCAGTGAATGAATCTTTTCTACAAATCCCTAGGAATTGATCAACCTCTATTTGAAGACTTCCAGTGATGGGGGGAACTTAATACTTTCTTGAGTGTCACATTACATTTTTAGATAACTCTATGATTAGGAATTGTTTCTATATACTCCATCACCAAGCATTTGTTAAGTGCCTACTGTGTGCCAGGCACTGTGCTAAGTGCCAGGGATCCAAAGAAAGCAAGACTTTCCTGCCCTTGAAGAGCTCACAGTCTAATAGGGAGACAACATACAAAGAACTATATAGAAACAAGATATGCACAGGATAAATTGAAGATAACCAGCAGAGAGAAGACACTAGCATTCAGGAGAATCGGGAAAAGCTTCTTAGAGAAGATGAGATTTTAGTTGGGACTTGAAGCCAAGAAGCAGAGATGAAGAGGAAGAGAATTCCAGGCATGGGGGACTGCCAGTGAACATGCTCAAAATCAGGAGATAGAGGACCACGGGCCAGGAGCAGCAAGGAGGCACATATCACTGGATCATAGAGTACATGTGGGGATTAAGGTGTAAGAAGACTGGGAAGGTAGGAGGCAGCCAGGTTATGAAATGCTTTGAATGCCAAACAGAAGATTTTATATTTGATCCTGGAGGTGATAGGGAGCCCTTGGAGTTTATTGAGTAGGGGAATGATAAAAACTTGTACTTAGGGAAGATCAGTTTGGCAGCTGAATGGAAGATGGACTGGAAAGAGAAAAAGGTTGAGGCAGAACACCAACCAGAAGGCTATTGCAATAGTTCCAGTGTGAGGTGATGAGAGCCTGCACAATGGTGATGGCACTGTCAGAGGAGAGAAAGGGGCATATACAAGCAATGTTACAAAGGGTGAATCAACAGGACTTGGCAACAGTTTGGATAGTGGGAGGAGCAGAGGTGAGAGAGTAAAGAGTCAAAGATGATTCTCAGGTTTTAAGTCTAAAGAAGAAAGTAATAAGAAAGTAAGGATGGAGTGAGAGTTTAAAGGGGAAGATAATAAATTTGTTTTTGGACTTATGGAGTTTAAGATGTCAGTGAATTTAACTATGAATTGGAGGAAAGATATGGCATAATAATTAGTAGGGATGGATGCGTCAAGTGAGGGGTTTTTTGAGGATGAGGGAGTCCTGGGTAGGTTTGTAGGCAGTAGGGAAGCAGCCAGTAGACCAGGAAAGATTAAAGATGAGTGAGAGAGTAGAAATAATAGAAAAGACAATCTGCTGGTGAAGATAGCATGGAATAACATCACCTGTGCATGTAGAAAGGTTTTCCTTGGCAAGGAGAAGGGCCATGTCTTCTTGTAAGACAAGGGTGCAGGA